AACCCTAAACCCCTAAGCCTTAAACTAAACTGAAGCCCAAAACATCCCCGAGCTGCTGCCAGGTCCCTCCCGAAAGAGAGGATCGCGTCTTAGACCAAACAAGACTGCAGCTGAAACGCATCGTCGCGGAGGCAGGCAAGGGTCTGTGGGGATGTGTCTATATTCCTGTATAATAAATAAAGAATATATATATATANNATTCTATTATATATATACATATATATATATATATGTATATGCGAAATTTTTGTATTACATAATCTACGGAGCCTGGGCTTCTTCAGGCTGAGGTTTCGGGGCCTAGGGGCTTTGCAGGCTCGACGCTTTGCGGGCAGACCCAGGGTTCGTACAGCACTCCTATCCGAAAGTCCCTAAGCCTTACATCCCAAAAGAGCTCGGAGGTCCATGGGTAGTTAAAGGCAGAGTTATACGTCCCCGAATATGGGCTATAATTCTAGTTACCCTGCTTATAAACCCACTTATAACTACCAATGAACCACCAAGTAAGTCTCTGAAGTATCACACTACGAAGGTTGTAGGGTTTAGGGTCAAGGATGTAGGGTTTAGGGGTTAGGGCCTGGGTTTAATTCATGATTCTTTCAGTTTAAACTATACCTGTAGTCTCCGTTGTAGTTCCTGTCTCTTGGCATGACCAAACTTACAGTTCGGATGCCATAGTGTAACGAAAATGGAACTACAATGGGGACTTTAGATACGGTATAAACCCTTTGGGGCCGTTAGACATATTGCCTTTTATTGTGTCGGGTCGAAGGGGCTTATGTCAAGCCCCGAACTGACGTATCGCAAACTTAAAACAACAAACAAAGCCCAAGCCTCGTACCTGAACCCCAAGGCCCTAAACCCCAAACCCCTTATGACTTTAAAATCGGATCAACCCACATCTCAGGCAACAGTGAAATAATTCAGGGGCTTGAAGAATCAGTATTCGCACCACCTTGCCGTCCCTCCATCAATACTTATCATTGACCCAGAAAGCTTTTTCCGATCACTTAGGCCTCTAGATTACGACCCGAAACCCTAACCGCCAACAAACCCGAAGTCCTAAACCCTTTAAACCCCAAACGCTAAACCCTAAATCCTGAAGCCCGAACTCTTAACCCTCAATCCTTAACCTCAAGCCCTTATAGCCTAAATCCTTAACCCTAAAGCCTTAGCCTTAAGTCCTTAACCCTAAACTCCGTACTACAGGGGCCTTAATAGTTAGAATAGGGTTTTGGGACCCTTTCTGCTATAATTATTATAAGGAACCCCACAAATCCCTATTCTAATTATTAAGGCCCCTACGTTAAACCCCCGCCCCAGGCCGAGGATAGTCTGAGGAAGGAACTCGCTGAAAGCTCGACGACCCCTGCGATCGATGCAGTCACTTGGCTGACATCTTTCGGGTTTAGGCTTCTGGGGTTTAGGGTTTACTTAAACCCTAAACCAAAAACTGTAAGGATTAGGGTTTAGGGTTTACCTAAACCCTAAACAGTAAACCTGTAAGGGTTTATATCAAGAAATCATAATCAGGAACCCTAAAAAGGTAGGTTCTTTGGGGTCCAAGTAGGGTTTAGGGTTTCGGCTGGAAAGGGATCCTTAAAGGGAGCACTTCAGGGTCTGGGACTTAGAGGTGTCTTGTGGGATTCAGGGTGTAGGGTTTAGGGTTGGGTTTAGGGTGTGGGGTTTAGGTTTTAGGGTTTAGGGTTTAGGGTTTGGGGTTTGGGGTTTAGGGTTGAGGGTTTAGGGTTTGGGGTTTAGATTTTAGGGTTTGGGGTTCAGGGTTTGGGGTTTAGGGTTCAGTCAGACTTGGCTGACATCAGGCTTGGTTTTGGGGCTGAGGGTTAAGGGAGTAGCCGAGTTGATCGACCCAGCCAGCCACACACCCTGCACCTCAAACTCGCACGCCTGCAGGGATTTAAGTTTGGGACCGCAGGGTTTGGGGTGGCCCTCATGCCTCTTCCTACCCCTAAGTCACAGTCAGAAGTGCTATAAGCCAGTAGGCCACCCTTGAGATCCAAAGCGCAACTGAACCCAAAACCCTGAACCCAAAACCCCTGAAATCGAGAACCCTGAGATGAGAATGTTGCTTCAAAGGGCTTCAAGCAAGGACTTCGGATGGTTTACTTGGAAGTTCATGGGTAGTTACATGCGGGGTCATGACTTGGGTAGCTATAGCTTAAACCCATAGTGGGGGACAAATATCACCCCACTTATAGCTACCCATGAACCTCCAAGTACCCATCTCAACTCTCGTTCCCCAAGATTACGAAGCTGAGCTGAAGCCCTGCGGAACCTCGAACCACTCACCTTGCGCCCTCCGCATCGCTCCCAGAAAGACACCGAAGCTTCCGGCCAGCAAGCAGATGTGGAAACTCAATGCCCACAGCCGCAAAAGCCTGTGTTCCCGAAACTTCCGAAATCAAGGCCAAAGCCCCCGTTCTCCCCACAAACATACCGAGACCCTGAAACCATAATGATCTCTAAAGTTCTATAAACCCCAAACCTGAACCCTAAACCCTAAACCCTAACGGGCCTAGTTCTAAACCCTAAACCTGACCTGGCTTAGGTGGCGGCCCGCTATCACAGCGAGTTCGGACCAGTAGCCAGCCCTGTAGAGGAAGAGATCAAGGCGCTCTGGGCTCCTGGGTTTAGGGTTTAGGGTGAAGGGATTCTATAAGGGTTCCTTTCAGGAGTCGATGAGGGCTCCCCGAAAGTTTCAAGAAGGGTTGCTTTTTGGTTTAGGGTTCGGAGGATTGCAGAATTTTTGGGCTAGGGCTCGACAGGGATTTGGGTTTAGAAGGAGAGAAGACAGGCCTAGAAGGGTTTTTGGTGTAAGGTCGTGTTGCACTGTTGCCTTGTTGTCTTGAAGCTTTGAAAAACAAAACTGCGTACTGCGGGTTCAGCGAAGTTGGGGATTTTGGGGATGTTAGGCTTCAGTGATTCGGAGTTGGGGCCCTGTTCACCTTGTAAGTCTACGGCCTGTTAGGGCTTAAGGCTTAGGGCATGGGTTGTTCTAATATAGGGGCCTCAATAATTACCTATATTATTCTTTTGTGGGCTCCTGATTAGAATTATACTATAAAGGACCCCAAAGACCTCGGCCTAGCAACGGTGGTCGGACCTTGAGGCTATTATCCCGGCTGAGCTCACACTTTCGTGGAAGGACGCTTGGCTACGGTGCTAAGGAGGACCAAGACCTCTGGGCCGAGCCGGCGGGTGAAGGAGCTACTTGGAGGTTCATGTGTAGTTATAAGTAGGGTTACAAGTCCCCTAATTTGGGTTATAGCTATAGTTACCCTACTTATAACCGTTTATAACCCCATGAACCTCCAAGTACCGGTGGCTATCTCGGAGCATGCCTTCTTCGCCGAAAAGGACTGGCTACGAGTGGGCTTCGACATCCCGAGGACCTAATTTTCACAAGATCCCAGGAATCTCCCCATGACTTCCGCAGCCGCGCGAATGATTTCACAAACGCCGTCTTCTTCGGGGCGAGCATCCGCGGACTCCTGCTCATGCCATTGCTGGCTCCACCAGTTCCTTTCCTGTGTGTCCTGCCATTGTTGGCCGTAGTCGTTCTGCCATCCTGGCTGGACCATTCTGTCCAATCCGTCCACTTGGAGTTTGGTGTTGGATCGGACATGGATGTAGGGTCCGAAAGCCTGAACCCTGGGAGTCTAGCTACCTAATATAGTAAGCTACTGGTTTATGGGTACTATGAGGTTATCTAAGGCCCTAAACCCCAAGCCCTAAACCCTATAAACCCTAAACCCTAAACACACCCACTTCGTAGGTAACTGGGGTCCTAGGCTAAACCCTTCTAAACCATGAACTCCACACACGGTTTACGAGCAAGGGGCTCTCTGCGGTGTAGGGTTGGGGATATGCAGGTCATGTGCTAAGACAAGTCTCTATTGCCGTGACCAGCTCTGTGTGTAGATGTGTGCATTTCTCCCTCTAAACCCTAAACCCTCAACCCTAAACCCTAAACCCCAAGCACACGAACCCCTAAACCCTAAACCCCAGGACACTAAACCCTAACCGCAAGCCCTCAACGCCCACGCGCATCCCTTTGAGCGCATGTTCAACTTCTGGGTTGAGCTGTCGGTGTTGTGTTTTGCCTTTTAGCCTTTCTCGGAACGACGCATCACGGTTAAGGGTCTTGGGCTCCCTACCTACCTACCTACCTACCTACCTACCTACCTACCTACCTACCTACCTACCTACCTACCTACCTACCTACCGAGTGGAGGGTTTAGGGTTTTAGGATTTAGGGTTAAGGGTTTAGGGTTCTTCGAACGACGGGTCACGCATTGAGTTGAGGATTCCGCAATTCCGCATAATGTAGGAACCTCATGAAGAAACCCTGGCCCCATGACTACAAACGATTAAAGATCCATATAAACAGCCCTAGTACAGACTCAAGGTTTCTTGAAGAGAAACCCTAAAGCCCTGAATCCCTAAACCCTTAATTAACCCTAAACCCCATATTATACGAAGGTCGGTGAGTAGTCAGGGTTTACGCAGCAGAGCCAACAGCCGGAAGGCACAATCCAAGCTGGTATGTCTATATTTGCATGAATGAGTTCTGCAGAAAGTTGAAAGGCAAAAAGCGAGAGACAGCGAGACGGCGATGCACGTGTGTGTGTGTATATATATATATATACACATATATATGTACATGTATACAGTAAGCTTATACTTGCCTATACACATACAAAGATACATATGCGTACGAAATGTACGTGGATATGCATACACACATAATCATACCCATGCATACATACACGCGGGTATGTGTGTACGCGCTAAAATTTCTTTTGCAATGCAAGTCTCAACCTCGATCTCTCCCCCAGCGCTACTGCAGGTCGCACGCCTTAGACGAGTCCAATTTCTGGAGATGGAGTTGGAGGCTTCCTGGGTCTATAAGGGTTAGGGATCAATTTAGGGTTTAGGCTTTGGGGTTTCAGATTTTGGGGTTTGGGGTGCATAAGTGCTTCCAGGGTTTAGGTTTAGGGCCCGAGCTGGTGATGATATTGTTTTCTAACTTCGGCTATAAGTCTATACTGCAATATACCTTTTGCTTTGCATACAGTGTGTGGCCCCAAAACCGCTTGAAACCCTTCAACACATCCTCTAGCTGCAGCAGTACCCGGGTTGAGGGTTTAAGGTTCCTGACGTCCCAACACGATGCAACTGTTGGTGGACACGTTAACAGACTGAGAAAAGGAAACCCTAAACCCTAAACCCTGGAAATGCCGTAGGTTCCGAGGACAATAGCACCACCTCGGAATCCATCATACATCTTCAATGGTACATGGGCTGCGGGGTTATGCTCTTGTCGTGCCACTTGTTGCCGAGTGGGTCCCTGGGTGGTGCAAGGTTTTCTCCATCGGCGGAAGCTTTGTCCCGTGAAGCCCAACCCTAAACCAAAAGCCCCTAAACCCTAAACCCTAAACCCTAAACCAAAAGCCCCAACCTTCAGTAGGTTTGGAGATCCCCAGGCTCCGCCGTGCGGTTGATGGCAGTCGTGTCCTCATAAACCCTCTGTAGTTTAGGGTTTAGGGTTTAGGGTTTAAGGCCATGCTGCAGTGTATGCCTCAAAACCTTACTCTACCATGAAGGACCCTACAAGTATATTAGAACCTATAAAAGTCCTGTAAACAGCCCTGTATAAAATCCTGTACCAAACCTACAAGAGCCATCTACAACCCATTTTAATTATTGAGGCCCCTACAACACCCGCCTGCTTGCAGACCCGTTGGGCTCGGCCTTTCGTGGGCCCTTTGCCTCCGCATTCCGCTGCCGCGCGACGGTGCGCATACCTGGTTCGGGTAGTTATAAGTGGGGTTACACATCCCCTAATACGGGTTGAATTTATAGCCAGTTTACATATAACTCCACTTATAACTAGCCATGAACCTCCGAGAAGGGGAAGGTACAGGCTTTGGAGTTTGAAGACACCCTGGGGACTACAACCGGCGCAGGAGAACCCGAAAGCCAGAGCCCTTAACATGTTGTTCCCAGACCTGCACCTTGAATCACATTGAGTTGTGCCTTCAGACGTGGGGTATAGGTTCTTGACCGACGGTGTGTGACCTTCCCTATGCGGCAAAGCCAACTTCCAGAGCAAAGGATTCGATTCTTCCACCGTATGAATCTGGATGCCGTCTTCGCACAGCATCTGCACACAAAGCTAAGTTTCGAATCCAACAGCCTGAGTGCTACACATCACACCCGAAAGAAGCGAATTTCATTCTGATCATTCAGTCTCCATCCATCTGTACATGTTGATTCCACTCATGAGCCACCCCCCCATGATCTCAAATGACTGCAGTATGGAAGGGCCGACATGCGCGCGTGTAACCTCCAGGTACGAGCTGGAACTCGGAAAGAAGAATCCCAAGGCCGAGAACAGCAGTTTTGTTTTTTTGTTTTTTAGGGTTTTGGGTGGTTTCGGGTTTTGGGGGTTTGGGTTTAGGGTAGGAGTTTGGGGTCAGAGTGTTTTCTAATCTGGGGTTTTGGTGGTTTCGGGTTTTTGGGGGTTAGGGTTTAGGGTAGGAGTTTTGGGTTGTGGGCTTTTGTGGTCATACAGGGTTTTCAGCACGAAGGTCAGACTCAGATAGGATTGGAGGCTGCGAAAAGCGCCATTGGGTCGTCGTGCCCTCAGCCGCAAGAGATGTTTCCTTGAAGCAGATGTTTCGTGTTGTGTGTGATTAGTGTGGTAACTGACTTAGTAGTCAGTCATGATACACATGGTCCTGGCAGCAGTCAGCAAGATGTCATCACTTAGTGGAACCCGGTCGTCATCAACATTATCATTCGCATCACCACATGCCCAGTAGCAGCCGCACCCTAAACCCCTAACCCTTGAAAAACCCTGAACCCCCCAATATTGTAAACCCTAGGCCTCAACCCCTCTGTGCAGTCCGTGTCGCTGAAACTTGACCTTGCGATTCTAAAGTCTGAATTCTTCCGAAATGTGCCCCCAAGCCTATGCACAAAAAAGCCCGAAACCCTGGGGCCTAGCCCTAAACCCTAACCTTCCGGAATCTGCAGGTCGTCGCCTTTGTGGCAGAAGAAGCTGCGCACGCAGCCACGCTTGAGGCGGCAGTAGCGCACGATCACGTGTTTGGTCTCCAATTTGGGGCTTAATGGCCTAGAGTTTCAGGGTTCGGGGGTTTATGTCACAGTGACCCTATAAACCGTAATTAAACCCTAAAGCCCTAAACCCCAAGGACCCTAAACCCTAAACCTTAAACCCTAAACCCTAAACCCTAAACCTTAGACCTTAATCCCTAAACCCTAAACTCTAAACCCTAAACCCTAAACCTTAAACCCTAAACCCTAAACTCTAAACCCTAAACCCTAAACCTTAAACCCTAAACCCTAAACCACGGTTCATGTCACAGAGATCTGTACGCCCCATCTTTCGACCCCCAAGTTCTCGAGCGCAGTGGTTGACTCAGGTTTCGGCCGCTTCGGAAGGGCTGAACCTAGCAAGGTTTTAGGGTTTAGGGTTTAGTAATTTAGGGTTTAGGGCTTATAGGGTTTAGGGTTTAGGGTTTAGAGTTTAGGGTTTAGGGTTTAGCGTTTGGGGTTTAGGGTTTAGGGTTTAGGGTTTGGGGTTTAGGATTTAGCAGTGAACGAAGGCCTGAACTTGGGTTCTTCATACTCTAACTTTAGCTGCAAGTTGCAGCTTTAGTTGTTGCTTGGGGTTGTGGATATTGTGGTTTGTCTCTTCTTGGGTTGTCTTATGATAAGCATCCCAGCATTAATCCTGCACATGTATCGGGCCCCTCATTCCCGAAGCATCCAGGGTGCATATCTAAGTTAGCGTCCACCCACAGTGCGCATCTCCTTCTTGTCTATGCCGACTTGTATCAGGTAAGACATCCATGCCCTCAAGTTATGCACATAAGCCCAGGGTGTAGGGCATTGCGTTTAGGCGATGACTTGCTTGAAGCAAGTTTTTGTCTCCGATGACTCCGATACTTCAAGCCGACTGCAATCCTGTGCATCTACAGCCCTACGGTTCGGGTTGAGTTGATGAGGTCCCCTGTTTTCTGGTTTCAGCTAGCATGTGAGACTTTGTCCATGGCCTATCCTGTCCAAACCTAAACCCCAAACCCTAAACCTAAGAACCCTCCGTGCCCAGCAGCCGCGTCCAGCGAAGTTGCCCCGCCCAAGCCGCAACGCCGAGACGACCAAAGCCCCGAAAGCCATAAACAAGAACACAGCCCTAAACCTTAAATCCCCAGACCCCTAAACCTCTAAACCCTAAAGCCCTAAACCCTAAATCCTTAGACCCCTAAGCCTCTAAACCCCTAAGCCATTAACCGTAAGGACACTAGACCCTAAAGCCCTAAACCGTAAGGACACTCAACCCTGTAGATCCCTCAACCATGGCTTTCATCAGGCTGACCTCGAAGTGGAACTCTCCTCTTTGCAGCCTCTTCGGCTCGTTGTTCATCGGGTATTAGGTTTAGGTGTTCTTAGGGTTTGGGGTTTAGGTGTTCTTCAAGGGTTTAGGGTTTAGGGTTTATATAGGTTGTTCTTCAAGGGTTTAGGGTTCAGGGTTTTGTTTTTTCTTCCAGGGTTTAGGGTTTAGGTTTGCTTCAAGGGTTTAGGGTTTCGGGTTTGGGGTTTTCCAAGGGGTCACTATAACGGTTCCTCTAGGCGTTTCTTTCCAAGGATCCGCATAGCGGTTTTTAGGGCTTTCTTCAAGGGTTTATTCTAGCGTTATTTAAACGTGTCTTCGATTTAGATTGGAGGTATGCTATACTGCAATAAGGAAGAGTCTTGGTAGTTATCCCGACTCCTATATAAGGTCAGAGTGCACCGTTATTTCTTTTTGTATTGAGTTTTTGTATTCGGGGTTCTAGGGTAATTTGGGGCGGTGAGGTTCGTGTAAGCGAGTCATACCCTAAACCTTGAATCCTAAATTCCATGCCTCATCTCAAAAATCTTCAGGGGCTGCCCTCCAAGGCCAACCGATGGTTTCTGATGTGGTACCTACAGGTACTTCAGGCTCAGGGTTTTGAATCTGTGACTTCGGCCGTCGGGTGTATGTTTTTTTTGATAGTGGCAAGATTGAGATTGTCTGTTTTGCGGCCTGCTGCGCGGGGCACAAGACCTGCGCCACCTCCGTGGTGTGGCTGCACGGTTGTCAGAGCCGTCCAGGACCCAGAGAGCCCAATACCCCTTAATTACGGAATATACTTTGAATCACAATATTAAGGCCCCTATAGTTTAAGGTATATTCCTTAATTAAGGGGTATTGGGGCTCTCTGGAGACCTGGTCCGCGTCCGGACTTCGATCAAGGCAACGGAAGGCTGCCGTGGACAGAGATACCGCCCTCGAAGCAAGTCCAGAAGGCGACCGCTGAAGCTCCTAAACCCTAAATCCCTAAGCCCCTAAACCCCTAAGCCCCTAAAGCCTAAACCCTAAAACCTAAACCCCTAAACCCCAAAGCCTTAAACCCTAAAACCCAAAGCCTAAACCCCTAAAGCCCAAAACCCAAGCGTTGTTCTGAAGGAGACCGAATCAAGACCAAATTGCATGAAAGTAGTTATCCCCAATTCCACCATCAATGAATGCACACTTGGGTTTAGGGTTTAGGGTTTAGGGTTTAGGGTTTAGGGTTTAGGGTTTAGGGTTTAGGGTTCAGGGTTTAGGGTTTAGGGTTTAGGGTTTAAAAACCCCAAACCCTAATACCCCAACCCTCTAATGTAGGAGCTTTAGTAGTTGGAATGGGGTTTTAGGGGTTCCTTAGTATAACATACCCCTAAACCCAACTCTCATTCTTACGGACCCTACAGTAGCCAGAAGTGATCGATTTTTTAAAGAGCTGCGCAAGGTGTCTATAAGACTTTCTAAGGTCCTTAGTCATGGTACCATTATAACTTATAGCTGGCAAGAGGAAGTCGGCTCTCTGGTGGTTTCGGATGCAGCATGACTACGGCCTGCGGGCGCTTGTAGGCAGGTGCAACCCGACGGACTCACCGTAGATCCTCCAAAATCCGCCGGCAGTCTTTGAATTCCTTTTATGCCTACATGTACATGGAGCCCTCAAACCATTACAAACCCCGAGACTCACACCCCCTAACCCATACATATATATATATATACACACACACAAGCATACATACATGCACACCCTAGTCCGGCAAGGTTGCGTCTGAAGTGTAATGTGGGATCTTCAGAAAATGAGGGACTTGCTGATAAATATAGACCCCCCCCCCCCAAATAGTAAGCACGGCTTGTAGAAGGTGGCCCTAATTTCCAAACACACCTTCAACAGCGGTTTGCAGAAAAAGCAGATACTTGCAAAGCATGTATGAGGCCCCTGTAAACCCAAGTTTTAACAACAACCCTGCCTGTAAAATTTCATCCAGAACACCATTATGGCAGCGAAACCCATCTAAATCCTAAACCCTAGACCCAAAACCCTAGACCGAAACCCTAAACCCTAGACCCAAGACCCTAAACCCTAGACCCAAGACCCTAGACCCTAAACCGTAAACCCTCCCCAAGAATGGCAGGAAGAAGGTGCGAGAGCTGATGAAGAAAAGGATGGAAGCCCGGGCGAGGGCCCTCATTCAGGCCGGGGGCATTGAGGGTTTAGGGTCTCAAAAAAAATTGGTTTTAGGGTTTAGGGTTGAGGGGTTTTAGGCGGTTTAAACTCCTCAAATTCAGAACTTTCAAGTTTGGCGGTGTTGAGGAGTTTATTTTGAATGTTTCCCTTGCTCGACATGGGGCTTATCGGCTCTACAGGACAGGCTTTGCAAGATCTACAAAAGTTTGGTTTGGTTCCATACGGTTTTAGGAGTTTCAGGGTTCGGCAACCTCAGGGTTATAGGGTTTAGGGTCTTGGGTTTAGGGTTTTGGGTTTAGGGTTTAGGGTGAGTTCCTTCAAGGCATTTGTGGCCAGCGTTAGGACTTCGGCTTCAGGGTTTAGGGTTTCCGAGCAGAGATGTCAGAGTCCAACCCCAAGCTCTAGCAAAGCTACCCCACTCTAGCGGCTTATGAAGGTTCTAGGGCTCCAGTAATCCCAAATCCCGAATGGTTTATGAAGGCCGCTGCATTAAATACGTATCTGGGCTCTCACGGCTATTGGGACAGGACTTCGACGAGAAACTCGCAGACACATTCGCGCAGATCCAAGAGGCCTGGGGCGGCTTTCGGTGTTTTATGGGTTTAGGGACAGGGTCTAGGGTGGTTTATGGGCTGCAGGATTTCACAAGGTGTTCTGGGGCGTTACAGGAATAATTTCAAAAGGTGTTATTCCGCATTTGTAAACGTATTTGGATTCAGGCTTCAGGGCTGTCTCGGGGCTTCCATTTTTCCCAGGCCGGCCGTCTACACACATGCTCGGTTTCGCGGTGTCGGGCTAGGTTTTGATTTGCGCTAGTTACTCTCTGGCAAAGGCTCTTGTGTCCGTATAAGTTTGGCATGGTGTCTGTGAGTGTGTCAAAGCTTTGTAGACGGGATACCCTACTGAATGCTGGCAAAGCCTTTATTAATGCTCGGGTTCCCGAAAATGCTCATGCAAATCAGGGCGACCGAAAACCCAATCCCCTAACCCCCAAACCCTGCAGTTCACGGCAGCTCGGATGTGATGAGTGGCTTCTGCAGACAAGAGAAGCATACGCCAAACGAAAGTAGCTGCCCCCCCCCCCCCATCCTCGCCACCGTTTTTGGAACCAACTTTTTCTTCAGGATCTATAAGAGGACTGGACAACTGAAGCAGGTTTATTCCTGAATGTGAAGCCCTATGTAGCCTCCTACTCCGAACCTGAAATCCCTCAATTTGTAGCTTAAGCCCTCAAGTCGAAGTAGGGGCTATGGAAAGGTGATCGAGAAGGCCATCATCAACATCGGCCCAGACAATCCAAAGGCCTCTGCAGGGTTTAGGGTTTAGGGTTTAGGGTTTAGGGGTTCAGGGTTTGTAGACGGGGGCAAAGGTCAGGATCGAAGAATCAGCTTAGCGCGATTTGGGACGTGCGGCTAAAGGCTTTTAAAGTGTACGAAGGAAGCTTTGTGTTCAGTCTGTGAAGATATAGGACCGAAGATTTCAAGAATGTGGGATTGAAGGCTTATGAGTCTGAAGAATACGAGGAAGAGGGGTTTTCGGTGGCTCGGCCTGCTGGCTTGGGGGATTCACTGGAGTTGTTTCTGAGGCATCCGACGATGGTCGAGAATAAAGGGCTTAGGATGTGGGGTGTAAACTTCAACGCTCAGGATGTAGGTTACGGGGCTGCAAGCATAGGTTTTGTGGCTTTATGCCCCTAGATCCGCGTTGTTCAAGACTTGGGGCGAGATGCCTATTAGGCTTAACGCTTTGGGTTTCGAAGTCAATAACCTTGTCAGCAATTTTTACTTGTCGAGAAAAACGGGTAGGATTAATTGCGTACTTACTCGTAGTAGCCTCAACAGGTGCCTAAACCCTAAAACCTTAAACCTAAAGCTCGTTCGCCACGGTGTGTCGGAGACTGTGTTGTTTTTTGGAAGGTTGCAGGGGCACGTGCCCGGAAGCCTTAGAACCGAAAGTCGGAGGTTTAGGGTTTTTAGGTGTTTAGGGGTTTAGGGCTGTAGGGCTTTAGGGTTTTAGGGTTTTGGGGTTTTAGGGTTAGGGGTTTAGGGTTTAGGGGTTTAGAGTTTTCGTTCACCCCACCTTTTAGGAAACCCCAAGAAGTTGGAAACCGGATTAAAGACAAATAGTGCTGGGATTCCCTATAGCATTTCCAAAGGGTCCTACTTTGGATGATATAAAACCTGCATTGAATGACTGTGCATGTCTCCTAAACACTAAACCTTCGAGCCTACTCTAAAATTTAACACCCTGAACCATCAAGACGCTGCAGACTCTAAGCCCTAAACCCTATAAACCCTATAAGCCCTAAACCCTAAAGCCCCTCTACGGCCTTAAACCCTAAACCCTACCTGGACCCTAGAGAACCTACCTTTTTGGGGTTCCTGACTATGATCTTAAGTCCCTACAAAGGTGGCTTACTACGGGTCCAAGGATACCCTCAGCCCTACACCCTAAACCCTAAACGCCAACCCTTACACCCTAACCCCGAACCCCTAAACCCTAACCCCTAAACCCTAAACCCTAAACCCTAAACCCTAAACCCTAAACCCTAAACCCTAAACCCAAAGCCGTTGTCTGAGTTCTAAGGTTGGCTCACGGCTTTGGGCCGTAGAGTTT